AACTTTCCCATAATGAAACATTTTTTGTTAGGATGTTTCCCTTTTATATAATGCATTACTTCCTCTAATACTATCATGAACTGTTCCATGTTACCTCCAAGCGAGCGGGAAAGTGATACAATAACTGAGTTTAATTGTGAAATAACAATCGAACAAAGTTCTAAGCATTTTTCGATATTGTATTTCTCTACGTTTATTGTTTCTGTTTTATATCTGTTATTTGCAACTATTAGTACTCCTCCTCTTATGTATGTTTTTCTGCAACTATACGCAGCCACGTTATAATTAGGTAATTTTAGTGTTGTTATCTCTTCTGCTTTCTGCTATTTGCAATTGTTTTTTTTTGTAGCGTATTGTATGCGTTTCTCTTTTCTCATTTTGAGTAATAATTAAGTCTCCTGTCTCTTCTTGTAGATTCTTTCTAAAAAACGATTTACTCGTACTCCACATGGTATTAATTCGGGTTGTTTTGTTTTCTCTAGGTAATCATTTGGCACTGAAATTTTAAAAGAGGCATATTCATCCGGTCTTTTAGCCCTAATTTTTTCGCATTTTCTATTATAAATATTTTTTCCTCGTAAATATTCCTCGATTTCTTTCTCTATTGTGGTCGGTTCTAAACCATAGACGTGCAAATGAGCATACTGTATAGTTCCTTTTAATAGTGTGCCTGTAGCTGTACCCCTAATCGTATTTAAAGACGACCGTCTCTTCTTTCTAGTTACTGTGACAAAATCTGTATATTTTTGAGGTGGAATCGCATCGATAATGGGGAAATAAAATAAATCCAAACTGAAAATCCTAATCCTCCAAGTTTGGGGGGTAGGCATAGGATCAGCTACCCTATATTTGTAAAAAAAGGCAAAACTCACAATACTTTAAATCAGCCTGGGAATAGGACGGAAAATTGGAGACAGAAATTGATATGGAACGGGAAGCTTTCTAAATGTAACTAATTTTCTCTTGGTATTTCTTACTTTACTGTTTCATGAACAAAATCAAATACCATGAAAGCATTCGTACTTATATTATCAACCTTTATGGGAAGAATATTAACAAACAAATCAAGGATTTCGATAACTTACGAATTAGACAACGCAACCTATTAAGCAGCTTGTCCTTACGAAGATGCAAAGAGAAGAAGGTAACGCCAACGTCCCTCAAAGTAAAGCACCATATAGACACTGCTGTCGCATGTAGGATTCTAATTAGGGCAGAACATGCTGATATGAGAAAGAATTCAAAAAACTTTTAAAAATCTACAGCAAATACGTGGGAGGTTACTACGACTCTACCTCTCACTTTCCAATTCTATGGCAAGAGAAAACTGAAAACAAAATAGATAAGATAAACCATGGAAAAAGCTGAACGCGAATTCCAAAGAAATTGAACGATAAGCAAACTAAGAAGTTCGAATCGTTGGACCGCCGCACCCACAAGAAGAAGAACACCGATTTGCCAATCGAACACAGTGCTCGCCAAAGGCTTAAATTACGCAGTTGCGCCAAAGAAAGTTCCGAAAGAAGAAAGCATCTTCAAAGTGGGTATTCGCAGAATACCTGCAGTCCAAGCAGGAAAAATTCGACAAGGCATAGCGAGAGTACTGAAAACAGCGAAGACACCAAAATCAAACCTAACAATTAATGAAAGAATGGAACTGCAACGATAAGAGAAGAAACAGACATCATCGTCGTACCAGCAGACAAAGGAAATGCGACCGTGGTCATGGATAGAAAAGAATCGACGATAAGATGACAAGCCTTATGGATCCAGCCACCTATAAGAAAATAAAAAAGGACCCAACCGAGAAGACAATAAGGAAAATGAAATATTTGGTAAAATCTATAGGAATTCTATCAACAGAGAAGTTTGTTTGTACAGGCCCTATAATATATGAATTACTTAAAATCCATAAACCGAATGTCCTACTACGCCCTGTTGTCAGTGCCGTAAATGCTCTTGCGTATCAGCTGGCAGAACACCTTGCCAAGAATATGTCTCCCTATACAGGTAAAATAGAATCATATGTCAGAGATTCTACGCAATTTGTGGAATCAATCAGAAGTATGAAGTTAGCCCCGGAGGGCTTGCCGGGGTATGTTCCACTGCCTATCAGCCACGTACTGTAGCTGGACGGAAGACTTCTATGAGCAATGCGAAGAGGCAGCTATGGAATCACCTCTGTCACATGTGATTGCCAATTTTTACATGCTTTACATGCTCTTGATGACAATTTCGTGATTTGGCAACGCGCAAAAGAGGGACTTTCAGGAATTTTTAGATCACTAGGTCACTAGGAAGATAGATGGGGGCATGGAACTGGGAGCGTATCCCATCACTATCCACAACAGAAGAGGTCAGTGAAAGGATATACGACAAAAAGAATTTAAAGAAATAAGAAAGATTTCTACTAGATGTACTGTAGAGGAACGGCTACGCGATGCGGGATATCTGCCTCCCTTATGTTTCAGGTGTGCCGGAACTGATTGCAAGGTGCCAGAAGAAGTATGATATCGTGGTACGATACGATATGGTCAGCAAAATACAGAACGCTGTTCCAATAGCTAAAAACAAACTAACCAAATTAAAGGGAGCAGTAGGCTATAGGCTGTCATGCAGTTCTAAAAATCGGACATTATTTCTAGAGGATGATAAGAAGCGATAGAGATGCATCGGTATAGGGTCAAAATGTGAAGATGTTAATTAACTCAATGAAGTCTTCTCTACCCGGTTTTGACAAAAAATTTAGTGGACAATTAGACAGTTATTAGTGTTAATTGATTATTAATTATCATTAATCTAAATAATGCCTATAGTACATAGGCTTTATTTCATGTGTTTATTATCAAACTTTAACCGATTTCGTCACTTTTAACTTGTTTCTGAAGAAGGTGTAACATGGCATCCGAAACGTCAAACACTTTTTCAAGATATAAAGAAAACATCAAATATGAAGTTTACATTATTAAACTTCTTTAAAGTTATAAGATGTCAACATTTTAAAAAATTTAGAACGTTCTAAGTTTTTAAAACTAAGTGTTTAAAAACTAGTCTCTGAAGATGGCTCTTAGCTGAAACTAGAAGAGTGATGTTTGTTATTTCATTAAAGACTAGTTTTGAAAATACAAAAAAGCTTTATATATTATTTCTCCTAATTATTTTGTAAAGTAACAATTTTATACAATCTTCTTTATAATATCATGGAAAATAGAATTCTTGGTATTTCTTGATGAGTTACTCATTATTTATAGAAGAAAGATTGAACTTTTTTATGAACAAAACCGAATTTCAAAATCTCTATTCGTTCTTGAGACAAACATTTTGGAACTAGAACCAGAATTTTTATGATTATAATGCTAGCAATTTGCTACAATCATTTTTAAAAAATCATGTAAAATCTAACTCTAAAGAAAAACATAGAAAGTTTCTATTTCAACCATCTGTGTTGTATCAAATAATGTTGCACTAAAACAGAATGTTCTGGTTGCATGTTGTCTTCTATATCAGATCTATTCTTGATTTTGAAATCCTCCTCGAAAATAATTTCGTCTCGTTTGTATTCTTTAGGACTATGAGCCAACAAGATAATTGTCCAGCATTGTCCAATAGAAACTTGGTCGACGACGCCATTTCCCAAGTCCTTCATGACCATAACAATTCTTGAAAGTTAAGTACTTAAGATGTTAGTCGATTAATTACTCCTAACAACGTATATTAATTTTACTACAACGAAACAAACAAGTTAACCATCAATATTGATTTATCGAACGGTAAACCAATAAAATTTGCAAATGTGGGTCAACTAACCTAGTTAGGAAATATTTCATGAATATACCGACTGAAAATTATACACCGAACAGTCAGTACAAAATCCATACCCGAGTCTTATCATTAACTTGATGATTACTTTTTAATATGTGAAAATTCAAATATGATTTAAAGTAAGGAATTTTCATAGCAACGTTATTTACAAAAGATCGAAGAGAAAAGGATCAGTTATTGAAATCGGAAACGATTTTGAAAGGGTAGACTCAGATAAAGGTCCTATCCCCAAAACAAATCCAATAAAGCACGCCAGTGAGAAAACAATCAATGACAGGGGTCACATGAAGGGGACCTGAAAGAATAGTTCCAACAATTTTAGGTTACCATGTGCGTGGAAACAGACTAAGGATTAGAATGGATCTAAATAAATAAAAGGACACCTGTAACCTAATAGCTTCGAGTAAATAATACGAACACGAAACCTTTCAATATAAAGATAAATAGTTAATTTGGGCAAATAAAAATAAAAAATGAATATATTTAATAAAATATCTTTGAAATATATGTGCCATTATTCGTATAGGATTGGAGACACCATTCAGAACAAATAGGGACGTATTCTCTCCATAAAAGAGCCGACAATAACAAACAGCGGCCCCAATTGCCGTGGCCATAATGTTTACATATCCCGAACGAAATCTTTATGCCGAAAGGGTCCCAGGCCGCTCATCCTACGAACTGGTGGAACAGGGCCATAGTACGAACGAACCGGGCGCATTCAAGATAAGCATCTCATTTATCAAATTAAGCACCGAACGGAGTGTCGAGGAGCGTCCCGCGGCGGGAAAAAAGCTCAAAAGGGCGCCCGAGGTTTTACGGGCAGCCGGGGCGAGCAGTTTTGTTCCATTGTGCGGCATCGACTACGTAAATGATTCAAAGTGCCGGATGGAATTTATCTGGGCGTTAATTCTGATTTACGGCAGACGACTACGGCGACAATTTTGCGCGGCTCTCGTCGCCCTCGTCTACGTTTCGAGTAATTAGATTCCGTGGCCCTGATTTTACGAGTTTTTCCGGTCGCGGCCCTCTCTCTAATGGATGATCGCTACACTTCCGCCCTGTCTCCCTATACGTACTACTCCAATTAGTACCGACGGGGACAAATTACTACGGGTTTTATATTTTCTACGAAAACTAACTCAATTTGAATTGAAAATTTTGAATAATATACTTACTTATTATAGTAAGATTTACTTTGACATTTCGAGTTGGAGTTTGTTTGAAGTCCACCCGACAAAGGTATATACCAGCGTCGCTGTCCTTTGCGCTGTTAAGGATCAATTTGGCAGGTTTATCTTGATAGCGAAACGTGGATCGTTCACCAAGTATCGACTCGTCCCACCAGTGACGACCATTTTCGAGGTTCTTCTCCCTCGAGTCGAACCTGTAAGAAAGGAATGAAAGGTCGTGCAAAAGTCAATCATTATTGTGACGCAGAGTTAGATTGAGTCGATCTTTCTCTTTCTGTATGGCCCAACGTAAATCATCGTTCCGGTCGCCGCGTATCTATATAAGAACCCCGCCACTATTGTGACCGGTCAAATCCCGGTTAGTTATTAAATTCCGATCGAGCCATTGATTCCGAATAACACAATGTTAGGGGTCTGTAAAGATAGGGGACAGACCGACCCCACATCTCCACGATCCGACCGTCTTGTCTCATAACTGGGTTAAGTGACAATCGAGCGTCTGCCTCCCCGACGTCGGATCACTTGATATGCTTTATTATATTGGCGGAACCACTCAAATTCAGTTAGGGTCAAAATTAAGAATTGATTTTGTTACAGTATATTTTTAGATGTACTTACGAGTAAATCGGGGATTGTTTTCCGTTGGGTAATTCTTTGAACCAAATGACTATGTGCATTCTATCGTCTGGGGACGATGGCGCCACATCGCAGGGTAGTTTAACTTTTCCTCCTTGTACGGCTTTTACGTCGTGCACCACAACTGCAATAAAAAAGTACCTATAAAATCGGAATCGTCACCGTATTAAACGAGGTGCAATTTCAAGCCCCCGAAAAAAAGTTCTACTGCAGTATAAATCTGACTGAACGTTGTACATTGGTGACAGGGTAGTTGCATCACGTCTACCCAATCACAAATAATGCCCTTTTTTGGCATTTGCCAACGAGGTTTATCTGCGATATAAAACCGACTCTGGGAAGAACATAAATCTTGCACTACTAGAAAAAATCTCGCAATAAAAACTTTAAATATAGTGTAAATACCAACGATATTCGATTGGTTAGGTTAAATAATAATTTTCTTTCACATAATTAATATTAATTGAACCTTATCACGTTCTCTTTTTATATATAAAACAAGTATTTTCAGAATGTGTCACGACCATACTATAACCGACAGTTTTAATAAAATATTGAAAAAACGGGGAGATTTATTTATTTCGAAAAAATATATTTTTTGCGTTGTTAAACAATAAACGAGAGGATCCATTCGAATCCGCGCCACGAGATAAAAAAAAATAAATAAAACGAATAAGCCGACTCCGAGCATTCATCTATGTCTGGGTTCACCTACGTTTGGACAACAAACGCCCATTCTGAGCGCAGTAACCCGAAAAATAAATATCATTTGCCGCATTCTATGCTCTATGACGGCCCCGCCGGGGACCGATTCTTCTTCCATTGTTCGCACTTAATTGGAATCAGTTTTTCCTGTTGACACACCGTGATGTCTATTATTCTCGGGGCGTTCTTTCTCCTGGGATCTACAAATTACAATCTAACGCAACGCCACCTTCACATTGAAAAGATCGTTTACTTGTCTTGTTGTAGGTATGAACCTTTACTAAGACCGCTCTTTGTGACTCGGTGTATTATACCGCATAAGGTTGCCCAAATGTCAGCTTTAATCAATACGGACTGGCATCTTTCGTCGTCCTCTTGGGCTTTCGGAGGCACGAACACCCCAACAATAATACTCTTCACTGTATGAAGTCTACGTTAATCCGGACTAAGATTAATCACCACAGGAGCCTTTCTCTTCTCATTCTCTCTACATAATTTGCATTCAGCAAGCGACCGGCAAAAGCGTGCCGTCGTCCTCCTCATCTATGCGAAGACGCGTTTACAGCGTCATTCCCTCACGTACAAGTCTTTTATCTTCAGCGACCAATTACTATGCTGTAATATTCCACCATATTTTTAAATACATAAATTTATTTGCAGTAATTGCATTCATTATTAACATTTGAAAACAATAATAAATTCATACACCCTTTGACGTGTGTTGTATATATTTGTTGTTGTATATTTTTATTGAACAAAAAGTAGTGCTAACACTAGACCTAGAACTAGAGACGTCCGGTTTAACCCGAATTTTTCTAGTTCTAGGTCTAGTATTAGTTCTAATGATAGTGTTAGTTTTAATTATGTTTGGGAAATTAAAAGGAAATTAAAGCCTCTGTTTGTTTTATATTAAATGTAGTTGGTACCGGTTTCGATCAATTAATAACGATCATCATCAGCCAAATTTACAAATGCGTACAAATTTACAAAATATAGATAAAATTATAAAAATCTATATTAAATATATAGATAAAATTGAAGAAAATTGATAAATATCATATATAATTAGTTAATACATGTTGATATAATTTAAAACACATATATTTGTATATATAAAATAAAATTAAGGGCACTTTAAACGACAACGAACTAAAATTAAATAAATGTAGGACTTCATACATAAAATGTGAAAACAGGTCATCCGAAATATTCGACCAAATGTACACACCAGAACAAAATACATTCTATATAATATTTATAAAAAGGAATAGAGGGGGTTTCTATAAGGTTGATCTGATCATTTATTAGTAAGATTTTCAGGTCATCTCTACGTTTGTCGATTTCGAATTGTTCGAGTAAGTCGAGTTTATTACCTTTGTTACATACGTGTATAAGGATAGAATTTTTGAAGTCAATGTTGTGTCCGGTTTCAAGTCTATGTTTATATACCTTAGAAGTAGGTTTTGTTTTGTGTTCTGCTAGTGTTTTGATAATTTTTTGCCTGTTTGTCCGATAGCTATACAGTTAATGCATGAAATAGAATAGCTGCAATTGTGTGTTTGCTCTTTATTCTTGTAATTGCTGAGTAATTTAAGAATGGTGGTGTTAGTTTTATAACTAACTTTAATGCCGTGGTTTTGTAAAATGTGCTTAATTTTAAAATTCAAAGGATTGTATGGTAATGAACAATAATTAACAGGATTTCGGATGGTCTTTTTAAATAGAGGGTCATGTTTTATGATGATTTTATAAAAAAGTGTATCAATAAGTTGTAAAGGAAATTTATATTTGTGAGCTAAATTAAAGATAAAATTTAATTCACTAATTTTATGGGTAGGTTCAATAAGATACCGTATTGTCCTACATAGATAATATTGAAAAGCTGCTAATTTATGGCTTTGAGGATGAAACGAATCGTAAGGAATAATGGTATTGGATGAAGATGGTTTTCTGTAAATGTTAAGTATTAATGAGTTAGATCTTTTTAAAATGGTCAAATCTAAAAAGTTTGTAGAATTGTTGCTTTCGATGTCCAATGTGAAATTTAATCTTGCATGGATTTTATTTATGTGTGTAAGGAAATTGTTGAGTTCTATCGCATCTCCGTTCCATATGCAAAATATATCGTCAATATATCTTATCCATTTATTTATGTTATTAATAAAGGGATTGGTGTTATGTAGAATAAATTGTTTTTCTATAGAATCGGGATAAATATCATCTAAAATACCGGAGATCGAAAGACCCATAGGTGGGCCCAATTCTGATTTAAAGATTTTGTTATTAACTTGACAGTAATTTTGTGTAATTATGTGTTTAAGAATAGTTAAGAGATGACAAGAGATTCCGTTGTTTTTAAAATGGTTCTCGAACATTTCTCAAATTAGCTTTAGTTATTATTCGGCGCCAAGTTATTGTATATTTTTATTGAACTAAAAGTAGAACTAACACTAGATCTAGAATTAAAAAGAATCGGCTTAGCTATCCTTTTCGATATTCTATGGACAGAGATTCACGACGTCGCTCTTGCTGAATAATTCGGTGTTCATCCGTTTTATCGGTGTATATTTTGGCTTTATTGCCAATAACAATATCGAATGAATTCATTATTTGTAAAATGGCACTTTGTCTTTCATTAAACAGCTAGTCGCAATAACAGTAGAAATTTCAAATAGAAATCGCCAAACCGTCGATTTGAAGCTTTCGTTAGCCTATATAAGCTGTATTTCTAACGGCTTTAATAATTTATGGCATAATTAATTTTGAATTTTGCTTAATCTCCTGCATGTATGTTAAGCAAGCATGATATCATGGTCCACTTGGTCAAAGCGCTTGTGACATGTCTGTGTACTGTATCAACTTGACTCCTATCATTCACAACATCAAATACAAAATGGGTGAAATGGCTTAAATTAGTAACCGTTGGGCGCTTCTCTATAAATTCATGTTTCATCGGAGATATATACAGCTCTTATACGATCTACATACACGTGAATAAATAATGTTACGATGAAATTAACTGTGTTAAAGGAAAAATTTTCTTTTGCTAACTGGTGATTTCTGTTTGCTCGTTACAAGTCTCGTATCTTTCACCTCATTGATGCAATCGCTTAGTTTCCTAGTATCCGTTAATTTGCTAGATTGGTGGATGATGTTGGTGTATAACAAGTTCCATATACAGAGTGTCCTACGACGTCACTGCCATAGCTTGGGAGTGTGTTGCTGGGGTGATTTCAGGTCAAAAATGCGTAATGAACATACACCCAAAACGCTATCGTAACCGAGCTACAAGCTGTTGATTTTGTTATTATTAAAAAGTCCAGCTGGCTGTGAATGATAATTTATTATTTATTGTTCAGCAGTTCCTTGACATTTTGAGCAACTAATTTAATAAAGCTGATTCTTTTTAAATAGTCTACTACTACTTATTTAAAATTTCAAATGCTTTAGCTCGGTTACGATAGCGTTTTGGGTGTATGTTCATTCGACATTTTTTACTTGAAATCACCCCAGCAACGCAGTCCCAAGGTATGGCAGTCACGTCGTGAGGCACCCTGTATGCATGGTGTGTCAAATGGCACGTAGTATCTCTGCATCCCCAAAATGATGGGACCTTTTATACGTTCCACAGAACCACCAATATGTCTCCATCTAAACCTCGTAGTTTTGTCAACCCAGATACAAATAAAATTTTGGGCAAGCTGGTTCCTATCACCTCATCTCGAAAATGCCAGCCGTTTGGTATTCGCAGCATCTTAATAACAATCCAAAAATCTTGGAATTTATTGACATTTAGTTCTTCCAGCCTTCAGAGCCATAATAGTAAATAATCAGTCTTCCAAATAAGGCTGAATATGGCAAAATCTTTCCAGTTTTTGTTTAAACTCCGCACCCATTATTCTGTTTATAACACAAAAGGCTTATCTTCTGGTCGTGGTGGTATAATTGAAGGTCTTTATTGAGATTTTGAACGTTGTTTTCCTTTTAAGGTCAGAATCGTAACTTCTTTGGAGTTGAATCACAAATATCACCCCGTTGTGCATTTTATACTTGTATCAACATAACACAGCATCTCTAATTGGGTCCACTATGAGAATGCTTCTTCCCTCAACCACAAAGTTGAATGCACAATCAAATTGGTGAGAGTAAAGTCCCTAGATTTACAAAGTACCGCGGTTCATGAAGCCTGTTTTCGAGCCAAAATGGGGGTTTGACAGCTTGTCACCACTTATTTACAAAAATATTGCCATCTTGTTGCCTTTGGAATTACAAAAATGGCAGTAAGAAGGACATTCGACTCTTCAGAGTATCACCAGAAAAAAAGAAAGGAAATTTGGCGTATGTTTTGGTTTGTAGTTTTAAATTTCCCGCTTGACTTTCGAGCCGAAATGGCGTCAAACCGCGGTACTTTGTAAATCT